ACCACCCCACTTACACCCTCAGCCATCAGTGTCTAAGTGCGGTTTAAAATTGTAAGTGGGCACCGGCACCCAGGAGGAGGCTGAAATATTCCCCTGCCAAATGCCGTTGAATGTGCTCACTCCCAAGGCCCTAAGTGTGTGTTTGTGTAGAATGTCGTCAGTGGAAGTGTATAAGCTGCAAATAAAATTGGGGGGCAGGTTGCCACAGGAATGCGGAAATGGGGTCCATACCCGCACTCTCTGACTTGTCCACCCCCCAAGGTCCTATGTGTATGTTTGTGTGATGATGTGAGGGAGCAGGAGGAGAGAAATATGCGGGGATGGGGAGGAATGGCTGGTTGGGCTTAGCCCTCCAGGGAGCCAGCTCCCCTACTGGCCCCAATAGGCACCTCTGTTGTCAAACTGCCACCCAGGGCATGGAGACCCCAGCACATCCTGCAGCAGCATTACAGAGCCTTACGGAGTCCGAGGGCACCAACCCAGCTGCACCCCAGCAGAATATCTATGCCCATCCCTGCATTTGCACAACTTCCAGAATATATAAGACATGGGACATCCAGGTAAGGTTGGGTCCTCCCCCTCCTGGACCTCCCCCTCCCCTGTGATGGAACGGCAGAGGAGCCAAGGTCTACCTGAGGCCCCTGAACCCGGGCCAGGCACTGCTGCGTGTTCCTGCCTTCTTCCCGGCAGCATACATGTCAGGACCCGACCCCCAAGGCCCCGCCCAGATCCCCACACGGGGCCGGCCACCCCCAAACCCCGAGCCCCCAGGCCCCCACCCAGACCCGCCCAGGGGCATTGCAGCTGCCAGGCAGTGACCCTTGGCCACCGCCAAGATCCCCAAGGGGCCCCACTCACAACCGCCAGCAGTCCACCCCCCTGAGGCAATTCTTTTCCTGGTGTCCTTCGAAAGCTCTTTGGTCTTGGCCATAGTGGAGTTTGGAGTCTGACTGTTTGAGGCTGTGGACAGATGTCTTTTATACAGAGAATGAGTTCAAACAGGTGCCATTAATACAGGTAACAAGTGGAAGACAGAAAAGCTTCTTAAAGAAGACGTTACAGGTCTGTGAGAGCCAGAGATTTTCCTTGTTTGAAGTGACCAAATACTTATTTTCAACCCTGATTTACAAAAAAATTCTTTAAAAATCCTGCCATGTGAATTCATGGATTTTTTTTCACATTCTGTCTCTCACAGTTGAAGTGTACCTATGATGAAAATTACTGACCTCTGTCATCATTTTAAGTGGGAGAACTTGCACAATCGGTGGCTGACTAAATACTTTTTTGCCCCACTGTATGCTGCTATAGGCTTAGACTGCTGGAGGACACATTGACCACTTTCCACACTACTACTTTCTTCTACAATCTGCTCTTTAACTGTACTATTTCCTGCTATTTCAGCTGTTAACTTTATTTTTTCTCTAAGTGTTTTTCTCCCTAGAAGAAGCTACAATGATGTTCTGCTGAGCTGTGGTGGCCTCATGGAGGGGGCCATCGTCTAGCACACTGCTGCTAACCACTAAAACATTCTCCCTCTTCTGATAATAACTTTTTGCTTTCCTTGAAGTTGGATGTGCTACTACTAGTTTATCCGTTTAATTATAGATCCACTAGGATAAATACTATAAAGTTTATCTCTCACCAAATAGAATATTTACTAAGAAATCACGGTGTAACCATGGACACAATGCTTGGTGTGTGTGGTAAAAACTGATTGTCAAACAGAGTTACCTCATTTACATTTAAATGTTTGCAGAAACGCCTTCCTGCCTTAGTACCCTTTATTATAGAAGCCAGACCAAGAGTCTCCTTGCTCTATTATCTGTAACATCTCCTGTGAAGACCTCTTTGAAGAATTCATTTTGCCTTCTGTGACTTCCTGAGGTAAGGGGATGTTGAAGAATTTGTGGGTGTGTTTATCACTAAAGCCTGATTTATGCTTCTCCGTCTGCGTCAGTGCGGAGACACGCAACGCCATTATCCGTCCTTGCGTAGGGCTCCGGCAGGCACGCAAGTACGTACGGAGTCGAGCCCACTTTTTTAAACATCCGTCGAATGAGACGGATTACGCAAGCTTGTGATTGGTCAGGACGCCGCTGTTGTTTACAGCGCCGCCATTGCAAAGAGAGCCGAGGATAACTAGCGGAGGACACGGAGAAACTTGAAGAATACCTCACGAAAAAACTCTAAAAATATGAACGTTTAATTCTCCCGTGACCAGAGGAGTGAAAAGATGCGCAACAAGCGTTTTATTTGTGGACGGAAATGACAGGAAACGTGGGTTTAGAGGTGGGGAGCGCATGAAGAGGTGCAGGAGAATGAGACAAATTTGTCCGTGTTAAAAGTCTCTTATATACACAAAAAACACAATAGAAACACACTATCTTGGACCGACACATGACAGGATACCACAGAACAGCGCTACGCCCTCTGTTGTCCTGCCAGGCAATTGCTTTGCAACACTCTCCAGGAGACGGAGAAGTAAAAGAGCAAAACGCTTCCGTCAATCCGTGTCTGTCCCTTGCGGAGCTGACGGAGAAGCATAAACCAGGCTTAACTTGTGTGTGGGTTTCCAAATAAAGTCGCTCCACGGCCTTGGCTCGGTGTGAGAGCAAACTGGCCTTTCGTCTGGTGTGTATTGATTCTCTCACCCTTTGCAAAGCATTCTTGTGGTTTTCATGTTGTCTGATTACAATTTACCAAATTATCAATCTAATCCCTCTGTGTGTGCTTTGACTTTCTTTGAGGTAATATGGGAGTAATATAAAAATTACCAAACTGTGTGTGTGTGTGTGTGTGTGTGTGTGTGTGTGTGTGTGTGTGTGTGTGTGTGTGTGTGTGTGTGTGTGTGTGTGTGTGTGTGCGTGCGTGCGTACAAAAGGGAGTTTTCCTCTCCACTGTCACTGCATGCTTGCTTAGTATGAGGATTGCTGTAAAGACTCTGACACTAATCAGTAGGGCTGCAACAACGAATCGATAAATTCGATGAAAATCGATTACTAAAAGCGTTGGCAACGAATTGCGTCATCGATTCATTGTGTCGCACAACTCTTCCAAAGCCCCGCCACTTCCCGCCCGCCGTTGCGCGCATACCGGAGCAAGTCAGATCAGCGCGAGGGAGAGCAGGTGTTTGGAAGAGGAACATGGCAGAAGCAGCGAGACCCAAAAAAGTAAAAACTTCTAAAGTTTGGGAGCATTTTCAGTTAAATCAGGCGACGACATTCGTTACCTGCAACGCTTGTAGGTCAGACTTGGCATGGCACGGGAGTACTGCAGTGATGATGCAGCATCTTAAACGCAAGCATGTCGGAATCATCAGCAAGGAAGGAGAGAGCTCTGTGTCCGGGTAAATTAAAAACTTTTCAAAAGTGATTCACCCAAGCCCCGGATTATTACACAGGCTAGACATGCCCTAAGCTCGTAAAAAAAAGTCTATAAAATCGTAAGCGCAACGCTATTAGATAGTGGGGGGGGGGGGGGGGGGGGGGGGGGGGGGGGGGGGGGGGGGCGCTACTGCGAACCGGTTCCGCCGTCACATTCCCGCAGAAAATGGTGGATCACACCGGGGCCAGACTACTAACATGTGGTTTTACAGCCACAATGTCCTCAGAAGCGAAAACACTTTTAAAAGGGAGGGAGGAGTCCTAACTGTTGCTGCAGGCGTGTTGTGTGAGAGTGCAGTTATATACTGGTTAATATATTTTTGGGTTCAGTTGCTTTCATGTGGCCTAATGTGAGTCTATTTGGGATCATTGGAATGATCAGCAGCATCTCTTGTTGTGACTTTATGGCGGTTGCCCAGGGCATCATCACAAGGAGGATGGCATTCATTTACTTTTGTTTTATTTGGTATTTTTTCAGTCATTTTTGGAAATGGTGATTAATTTTGATTAATTCACAGCCTATGTTTAATTACATTTAAAAATTAGTTGTTTGACATCCCCAGTTATAATAAACGTCTACAGATGAGATCAAACAAAACAGATGAGAATTCCCCTTAAAGAGCAAGTCACTCCCAAATAAACTTTTTTTGCTGATAAACTAAATAAACGAGTGTCTAATCGTGCTGCAGACACGTGTCGTCAATAATTTGGCACTTCAGTGCATCTTAGTTAAAATTTAAATATTCTGCCTAAAACTGGCAGTGTTGTGCCGTTGTCAGGTAAAAACTCTGCACTGTATTTTAATTAAAATCTGCCACCGCTATTGGCTAAGAAGTTTGCTATGATGTAAACTGGTACATTATGATGTCACAATGCTGTCGTGAGCCTGAGTGTGTGTGTATTTGTTAGCGGCTCCGCCCTCTCGGTCTGCCAGGCAACAGCATTTGTTGCATTTTTCAAACATGAAGTGGGAGTGGAGTTAGACTCTGGTAGGGGTTGACTTGCTCTTTAAGCTGTTTAACTTGGACCAAGCATTTTAGGTCACAGATAGGTGTAGCTTAGTGTCTCTGTCTATACACCTTATAAGACAATATAGGTGATGGCATGTTGTTTTTCTGCTATTGAACTGATTTCTAATAATGTGTTTAATAAAGTGAAGGAAGGAGAGAAATAACGTTTCCCTAGCAGTTTTTAAAAATGTCCCAATGTAATCTGATTAATCGTGTCGAGACCCCATCCGATTAATCGATTATCCAAATAATCGTTTGTTGCAGCCCTACTAGTCAGTGACTCGATGTGACCTGCTGGGTTCCTTGTATAAGAAACTTGTTACTGATCGGCTTAATGACCTGACCTGTTCTGGAATGTTTACTGTGTGAAGGTCCTTGAGACGACTCTGGTCCTGATTTTGCGCTTTATAAATAAACTTGAATTGAATTGAAATGAAAAAACTTGAATGTGTGCAACACTATTAGATACTCATTTATACAGTTTATCAGCCAAAAGAATAGTTGATTTGGGTGTTGCTTGCTCTTTAAAGCAATAATATTACTGTTAAATGTGTGAATAGAAAGTTACAGCATTCAGTAATTCACTGTGTTTCTGTTTTTCCTACAGGTGTTAAAATAATGGCGCTGGTTAAAGAAGAAGCTCATGAAGAACAGAGTGCTGGTGAGGACCAGCAGGAACCAGAACACCTTCACGTAAAGGAGGAACAGGATGACCTCTGGACCATTCTGGAGAGAGAGCAGCTACATTTGAAGGAGACTGATGCTGCCAGATTTCTATTCACTGCTGGTTCTATAAAGAGTGAGGATGATGAAGAAAAACCTCTCGTCTCACAGCTTCATCAGCAGCAAATAGAAGACCGAGATGTTCCAGCGAGCAGCTCAGCTGACCATGTGACAGCAGAAATGACAAATCATTTATCAACAAGGTCTTCAGGCTGTTGTGTTAGTAAGGAATGTGTTAAAGTGAAGCAACATGCAGACTCATGTAGGGAAGTCCAGAAAAAGACTAAAACGTTTAGTTGTGATCACTGTGGAAAAGAATTTATGGCTAAATCAAGTTTAAACAGTCACATGAGTGTCCACACAGGACAGAAGCCTTTTGCCTGTGAGCTGTGTGGACAAAGATTTTCCCGAAAGACAACTTTAAACAGTCACATGAGAATCCACACAGGACAGAAGCCTTTTGCCTGTGATCACTGTGGAAAAGAATTTATGGTTAAATCAAGTTTAAACAGTCACATGAGTGTCCACACAGGACAGAAGCCTTTTGCCTGTGAGCTCTGTGAAAAAAGATTTAGACATGAGACAAGTTTAAAAGGTCACATGAGTGTCCACACTGGACATAAGCCTTTTGCCTGTGGGCTGTGTGGACAAAAATTTGGTCATAAGACACATATAAAAGATCACATTAGAACCCACACAGGAGAGAAACCTTTTGCCTGTGACCTGTGTGGACAAAAGTTTAGTCGTAAGACAAATTTAAAAGGTCACATTAGAATCCACACAGGACAGAAACCTTTTGCCTGTGAGCTATGTGGTCAAAGATTTCGTTCTAAGGCAAGTTTAAACAGTCATATGAGTGTCCACACAGGACAGAAGCCTTTTGCCTGTGAGCTGTGTGGAAAAGGATTTAACCGACGAACAAATTTAAACAGACACATAAGAATCCACACAGGAAAGACGCCTTTTGCCTGTAAGCTCTGTGGAAAAAGATTTAGACATGAGACAAGTTTAAAAGGTCACATGAGAATCCACACAGGACAGAATCCTTTTGTCTGTGATCTCTGTGGAAAAAGATTTAGACATAAGACACGTTTAAAAAGTCACATGAGTGTCCACACTGGACCTAAGCCTTTTGCCTGTGGACTGTGTGGACAAAAATTTTGTCATAAGACACATATAAAAGATCACATGAGAATCCACACAGGAGAAAACCCTTTTACCTGTGAGCTCTGTGGAAACAGATTTAGACATGAGACAAGTTTAAAAAGTCACATGAGAATCCACACAGGACAGAAGCCTTTTGTCTGTGATCTCTGTGGAAAAAGATTTAGACATGAGACACGTTTAAAAAGTCACTTGAGTGTCCACACTGGACCTTTTGCCTGTGATCTCTGTGGAAAAAGATTTAGACATGAGACACGTTTAAAAAGTCACATGAGTGTCCACACTGGACAGATGCCTTTTGCCTGTGATCTCTGTGGAAAAAGATTTAGAAATGAGACACGTTTAAAAAGTCACATGAGTGTCCACACTGGACATAAGCCTTTTGTCTGTGAGCTGTGTGGACAAAGATTTAGTCATAAGAATAATTTAAACATTCACATGACAATCCACACAGGACTGAAACCTTTTGCCTGTGAGCTCTGTGGACAAAGATTTAACCGAAAGGCAAGTTTATATTCTCACATGAAAATCCACACAGGACAGAATCCTTATGCCTGTGAGGTCTGTGGTCAAAGATTTCGTTATAAGGCAAGTTTAAACAGTCATATGAGTGTCCACACAGGACAGAAGCCTTTTACCTGTGAGCTGTGTGGAAAAGGATTTAACCGAAAGGCAGATTTAAACAGACACACGAGAGTCCACACAGGACAGAAGCCTTTTATATGTGAGCTCTGTGGACAAGGATTTAGTCAAAAGATAAGTTTAAACAATCACACGAGTGTCCACCCTGGACAGAAGCCTTTTGGTTGTGTAACATGACCTAAGTGGTTACTTTTAATAAATGATCAATAAGATGTGATATTTCCATATAAATATGAAATATCAATATTGATCTTTTGAAATTTCATCTAAAATGAAACCAGGTAATTTTGGTAGTTCAGGGAAAATCACACCTTCGTAATATTTTGAGACAGAGAGAAAAATAGTTTCTAAAAACAAATTTAATACTAGATTTCTACTACTGTGTGGGCGACGATGGCACAGGAGTAAAGTGCTCGCTCCGTAATCAAAAGGTTGCAGGTTCGAGCCCCCTCTTAATCTGTCGCTGACATTGTGTCCTTGTGCAAGACACTTAACTCACCTTGCCTGCTGGTGGTGGTCGGAGGGACCGGTGGCGCCAGTGCTCGGCAGCCTCGCCTCTGTCAGTGCGCCCCAGGGCAGCTGTGGCTACACCGTAGCTCATCCCCGCCAGCGTGTGAATGTTTGTGTGAATGGCTGAATGACTGATTGTGTTGTAAAGCGCCTTGGGGGGTTTCCAGGACTCTAGAAGGCGCTATATCAAATACAGGCCATTTACCATTTACTAATGATGACACGGAACAAATGATGATAAATTATGGTTGAAACAAGATAACTGGGACAATGAATGAAATGATGGAATGTGTACTTAGATGTTATGTAGCAAAACCAAGTGTCTTAGAAAATTGTGATGTCTGGGTTGTAAAACACGTCTGAATGTATGGTTTAACAATCTCAATTAAAACACCATCCCACGCCAGTTGTGCAGAATCTACGAGTCCTTGTGGTGAAGGCTGCCGGTGATCCAGCGGTCGGAGAAGTTGATACAAACTGCCAGTAGAGTTGACTTCTGTGGTATTTGGAGCACATAATTTCACCCCCAAAAACCAAACCGCTGTTCTGAGATACCTTCCAGGTGAGTGCTGGAAGCTGGTGTAACAATTTTGCAACTCCACAATAATTTCAGACTTCCTCATCTGATGTGGAGAGACCAGCTTGTCTGAGCGTAGCCTTTAGGAGGCGGATCTCAAGTCTGGCCTTGGTTTGCTGCAGTTTAATCAGAGTCTGTTGTTCCTCTGCCAGACGAAGCTGTGCTTCTGCCCTGTCAGTCTCTTTTTGCTGAAGTGCCTTGTAACCATCATCTTTGTTTGATGAAGGGCGCTTCAAGCCTCTCCTCTGAGATCCTGTGGCAACTACCACTGGCTCAACCAATGAGAAACCAGCTGCTTCCTCATGAACAGAGCTGAGATTCAATATAAATACGCTCTCTGGATCAGTAGGCCTGTACTGAAAGGCTGAATACGTTAAAGCCTACTTAATCACTGTAGCCTGACGGAAGAACAAATAAAACTAAAACCTTATGAATATATAGGATATCTTGTAAAATACTGCATGATCCATATATAGTATTTTTGATACATTTTTAAAGTTTTCTTTACATTTTGGGCATGAAATTCATGCTGAATCCACCCTTCTGATGGGATCAGTTTATTCCTGATTTTTTTGTATCAAAGTGATTCAAATCCTACAGAAAGGTTCTGAAAAACCCAAATGTCCGTGTTCCTCTGAAGGTGTCAGCAGGACTTTTCCGAATCAGCTCCATGTGCTGTACTTTAGCTAAAGACTTTCGAAGTGTTGACTGTGGGAGTCCTTCAAGTTCTGCATATGCTGGGTGTAACTGCAGGCCTCTGTGGGTTCGGTTCCACTAGTAGCAGAAGGTGTACTACTGCATACCTTGTTGAACATCAGATCAAATAGGTTTGATTAGCCTGAAACTTTTTATTGTCCTATGCACGGTTAGATAAATGCTTCCCTGTACAACAACAAGCCAATTTTTAATAGCTAGCTGATGATTTTTGTCGTAGAGAAACAGTTCTCTGTCATGAACCGGGAGAGTTACCATGTGATGTTCCAGCCCCCGCCCAGTCGAAGTTGAAAGCCACTGTCACTGCAACTTTGCACAACTGTAATACGATTAATTTTTCAGTTTAGCAAAGCTTCAACAGGTATAACAGTACATGATGATCCCCTGTGCTACGTTACGTGTATTTGCTACACAAAACTCACACATCAACTCTTTTACGACCCCAGCTCGCCTAGGAGATGATGGTAGGTGAGGTCGTAAAGCAAGAAGTGTGTAAACAGGACAAACCAAGGATTACTCTCTTGAAAGAGGTTCATTAACTAAAAGCGCTGCTGAAATGAGCAGGAAACAAACAAGAAACACAAAGATCTTCCAAATACTGGGTAAACAACAAATACTAATAAACAAAAGATCATCTAAGCCAGGTATATTATAATAAACACAAAACGCCGGGACTAAACCGGGAAAAGGAAAGAACCAGGATGAACACAAAAAGCTCCACCAAAAGGGTGAGCAGCATAGCCTAGTGAACTAGACCAAATTCTTGCTTTGCAAAGTTTGGTCTAGGCATGCTCCATTGGAACCTCCGCAGCTCCTACCAGGACTCTGGCTAGCCAATCACAGCTCTCTAGAGGGGTTTCAAACACATAAAGAGCTGTGATTGGTCCATAATGGTGGGCCAATCATAGTGCTCTATCTGCTTAGTGAACAAATCACAGAGCTTTATCCGCTTTGTGGGCCAATCAGGGCACTCTATGCCTGGTGGGTGGGATGATGCAACAGAGTGAAACAAGAGTACGTCACATTCATTGTCCAGTGGAATGCGGAGATCATTTGAAAGACAACGGTAGAACCCGCCCCACAACCGAGAGCCGTCAATGGAGCGTGGCCAGACTAAATAATACATTTATTTAGTCTGGCTTGCCAGGCTATGAGCAGCACTCTTTAACGAGTATTTCCAATCAACCATAAATCGAGCTCTATAACGAGGAAGAATAACTAAACCACGCAGGTTACACAATGAGACTGTTTCTGTGTGATCTAGGAGGGAAAAGAGGATCACTAGCTTTAACGCACCTCTGCTCAGCTTCCCTCCTTGAATGACAGAGGGAGCTGCCCTTTATAGGAAGCTCCCTGATGGGCTGATGAGTGACACCTGGCTCAGCTAGAGCCAGGAGAACAACCAGTGCCTACGAGGCCACCTTGTGGCCACCAAAACAGACAGTGTCTGTTACCCCCCCCCCCCCCCCCCCCCCCAAAAAAAAAAACAACTAAAAATTATTTTGTTGTTGCCACGAAAGCAAGAGCGCTCCCACTAACTAACTAGACAAAAAAAAACTAACTAAAATCCCTGGATCTCGGAAGGCGGGCTGATTAAACACTTTAAAATCCCGCTGCGCTGATCCCCAGCGCTGCGGAGTGTTCCCGAGATGGTAGCTTGCGCTACCAACACTAGCCTCAAGGGAGATCCTCACAGCTAAAACAAACAAAATCTACAAGGGAGCCTCAATCTGTGTGGCATCGGGATAGCGCGTCAGCCATCATGTTGTCTGTCCCCTTCTTGTGGCGGACTTCTATGTTGAACTCCTGGAGGAGGAGAGCCCATCTCATCAGACGCTGATTGGCGTTGAACATGCAGTGGAGGAAGGTCAGCGGGTTGTGATCTGAGAAACAACTGTGGTGAAATGGTTGCAGACATAGACGTGAAAATGCTGTAGGGACCAAATTAAAGCCAAAGTTTCCTTTTCTATCGTAGAATAGTTGCGTTGTGACTGGTTGAACTTCCTGGAGAAATAGCAGACGGGGTGATCAAGTCCATCGGCGTCCTCTTGAAGAAGAACAGCTCCTGCTCCGGCGTCAGAGGCGTCAACCTCGATTTTAAACGGCTGGGACAGATCAGGAGCAGCCAGGATCGGTGCGCAACAAAGCAGGTTTCTGAGAGAAAGAAAAGCCTGGTGACAGTCCGGGGTCCAAGAAAAAGGAATATTAGTGGACAGCATGTCAGTTAATGGCTTTGCAACGGTCGAAAAGTTTCTACAAAAACACCTATAATAACCAGTCATGCCCAGAAACCGTCTAAGTTCCCTCCTAGTGGTAGGAGGAGGAAAAGAGGCGATGGCCTGGATTTTGTCAGTCAGGGCCCTAACTTGACCTTGACCCACTTCTTTTCCTAGGTACCGGACAGTAGCTTTCACAAGCTCGCATTTTGCGAGGTTCAAAGTTAGATTAGCAGATTTGAGGCTATTGAACACATTTTCCAAGGTCTGAAGGTGGAGACCCCAGGAAGAAGTGTAAACAACAATATTTTCCAGATAAGCACTGCAGTGTGGGATATCGGACAAAACTTGGTTGACTAACCGCTGGAACGTAGCTGGAGCATTTCTTAACCCGAATGGTAGCACTGTGTATTGTAGGAGGTTATCAGGAGTAACAAAAGCTGACACCTCAGAAGCGAATGGGGTTAGAGGCACCTGCCAGTAACCTTTTAGCAAGTCCAGCTTGGTAACGAAAGAAGCAGAACCAACACTGTCAACACGGTCTTCAACACGGGGTAAAGGAAATGAATCGGGTACTGTTTTTGCATTTAGCTTTCTGTAGTCAGTAACAAACCGGTGAGTTCCATCAGGCTTATTTTCCAATAAGCAGGGCGAGCTCCAGGACCTGGAGCTGGTTTTGGCCAGGCCGTGTTCTACGAGGTAGTTTACCTCAGCTTTCATTAATTCTCTTTTCAGTAGGGATGCAAACGAACAGGGACGGAATCAGTCAGAGTTATATCATGAGTTATGAGATGAGTTTGGCTGGGAACATCAGAAAACAGTTCTGGGAAGGAATGAATCAGTAGCGAGAGCTCCCTCTGTTGGGACAAGGTGAGATGATCCAAACTGGATGTCAGGTTAGCAAGCGCTTCTGAATTACAGAGGCGTGGAGTAACAGGAGGAGCTGGGCTCCATGGCACAGGATCATCTGAGGAAACCACAGCTTTCTGAGGAGCGACTTCTGTAGAGCCAAGACAAGGCTGAATCACAGGGTTTCGAACACGAAATAGTTTTAATCTGTTTATGTGACAGAGCATGGTTATCTTTTTCATCTGGGGAGTTTCAATCACATAATTACACTCATTCTGTCTGGAGTGAATCACAAATGGCCCATCAAATTTTGGAGCAAACGACGATCCAACAACAGGACTTAGAAGCAAGACTTGGTCCCCTGGTTGCAAGGTTCTGGGTACAGCCTTTCTATCAAAGGTTCTTTTCATCCTTAGTTTCGCGTCTCGGAGATGCTGTTGAGCCAAGAGATTTGCTTCTCTCAGTCTCTTTTTAAAGGTTTCCACATATAGTGGAACATTTGTCCCGGTTTGAGGAACGGGCCACAAAAACTTGTCTTTTAGAGCCGTTAAGGGCCCCCGAGGAGTGTGACCGAACTCGAGCTGATGTGGACTGAAACCGGTGGACTCCTGAACAGCGTCTCTGGCGGCAAACAAGACAAAAGGAAGCCCATCTTCCCAATATCGTCCGGTGGAGTGACAACATTTTCTCAACATACTTTTTATAGTTTGTGACCACCGTTGAACAACTCCCTGACTTTCAGGGTGATAACTAGAAGATTTCAGGTGCTGAATATTTAGTGTCTTAGCCACCTGAGCAAAAATGCGTGAGGTAAAGTTGGTACCTTGATCGGACTGAATGATTCTAGGTAAACCAAACACGGAGAAGAAACCGGTCAGCGCTTTAATTACATTAGCTGTGGTAATGGAGGACAGAGGCACGGCTTCAGGAAAACGAGTAGCAGAACAGATGATGGTCAATAGATATTTCTTTCCGGTTCGAGAGGGAGGAAGAGGCCCCACACAATCAATAACAATGTGATCAAAAGGAGTGTTTATGACAGGAGTAGGATGTAACGGGGCAGGACGAATGGTCTGATTCGGGTTTCCTACTGTCTGACACGTCGAAAAGTCTGAGACTTCTTTCTTTAAACCAGGCCAAAAGAAATGGTGCAATATAGCGTCATATGTTTTGTTTATGCCTAAATGGCCGGACCACTCACTCTCATGTGCTAATGATAAAACGTGAGAGCGGAACTTTACAGGCACAACTATCTGCTTTGTTTGTCCCCAATCGGCGCCTTCAGCAGAAGGCTGGGCCCAACATCAGAGCAGAACCTCATTTTCTATTATATAACTAGCTTTTCCTGTTGAGGGCTTAGCGTTCCCAGCTGCGAGTGTAAAATAAGGCTGGAGAGTTTTGTCTGCTTTCTGAGCAGCTACCAGAGCATCATAGTTTAGGGGGAAGTTAACAGAAACCCGGGGTTTCATAACGGCAGCAGTGTCTGAATCGAAGTTTTCATCTGACAGGAAAGGATGCAACACAGAATCACGAAGGGTTTTCTCTGGATCCTTTTTAGTTTGTGCTCTGGTTAGCACACAAGCAGGCAGAGGGCCTACACTAGCATGAACTTCTGGTTCTAAAATGAGTTCAGGCAGAGGCACGACTAATCCTCCAGCAGCGTCATTCCCTAAAATTAGATTGACTCCTTTTGTTGGGAGTTCATCCAACA